GCTCTCAGCATTGGCTGGGACCAACCCCAACCAGTCTAGGCATGTGGGAGTGAACCAGCTGATGTGAACTTTCTGTCTCACGGCCTCTGTCTTGCCTGTACATAAATGCATCTCTATTAGAAGTGTGGGGTGTCTCCCACGGCCCGACTTTAGAGGGTCAGGAACTCCAGTTTTTGCTTTTGATTCCTGAGTTGCCCAAAGCCCTCCTAGGTTCTTGCCTTCTCAGCTTGCATTCACCTAACCTTCATGCTCTCTCACCCCTGCCAGCCTAGATGTCGGCGCCTGCTGTGACATCCTTGCATTCCTGTCACAAGCATGTTTCTCGCCCATTGTTGCAGCCCTGGACTCCAGTTCTCACCTCCAGAACCCAAAGAGGCTGGAAAACTAAGCCATCACCTTTGCTCTCCTTTTTTTTTTTTTTTTTTTTTAATAAATTAGGAAATGTCTTGAGGGGAAAAGTGGCAGAGTCAGACTTAATCCACTTTCCTGGGAGGCCTTAATCTGGGACTGTGGCACTGTAGGGTAGGACTGCTGTTGGCGATGCCAGGATTGTGGCATCGTGGGTAGGGCTGCTGTTGGCGATGCCAGGATCCCATCTCAGAGTGACAGTCGAATCCTGGTGGTTCTGCTTCCAATCCAGCCTCCTGCTAGTGTCCCTGGGGAAGTGCTGGAATTTGACCCAAGAACTTGGATGTCTGCAGCCCCTGTGAGAAACCAGGATAGGGTTCCTGGCTTTTGGTTTCAGCTTGGCCCAACCCTGGCCGTGGTGGGTATTTGGGAGTAGACAAGCAGGTCAGAGAGAGAGCTCTACCCATCTCCTTTCTCTGTATTACTCTGACTTGCAAATGCACAAGTCATTCATCGAGAGCAATTTTGCTAGTTTGTGTTTTTGAGCATGATAGAATATAGGATTAAGAGAAGAACTTTGACATCTCAAAATCAGCAATGGGTGAGATGTCTAGACTCTACAAGGCATTCCACAAATCAAGAAGAAACGGCAGGATGGGAGAGGGGCCAAGAAGGGAGCAGGAGAAAACAGAAGGGAAACGGATGAGGACAAAGGATATTGATAGTTCCCCAAAACTCATGAAGTCCCATGTCAATATGTGCTCACTTATACTAGTACTCACAACAAACACAACCAAACATTACGGCTCCTGTTTTCCATCCGTTAGAGAGAGGCAGTGCCAAGTGTTACCAGGAAACTAGGAAACTGGAGCCCTGTGCGTGTCAGGGCGGGGGAGGGAGCGGGATCTGGAATGGCACAGGAATTAGGAAGAACAGTCAGCTGGGACTTGGTCAAGTTCAGGTCACATGTCACGACACAGAACTCCTCTTTCTTATATAAAGATTTCAAATCATGACGTGTCTTAAATATAAATGTGGCTAGATAGACATACATGTATCTAAGTGAAGATTCATGAGGCTGTTCAGTGCAGTTTTGTTTACAAAGCTGAGAGGTAAAGGACCCCCAGATACCCACTGCTAAAGCAATGAGCAGATGCCATGGAGTGGGTACAGAGGACGCAATTCCAGAAGCTAGACATCCACTCAGTGTCCTACAAAACGACTTCAAGAGGTTTATGGAAAGATGAAAGATAAGTTGATTTTAGTGCTGAAAATTTTTGAAATCTGTTCATTCAAAGAGTTCATGAAAAACATATAGTATGATAAAACCATGTATGATTTTCTAAAAGGATTTATTTGTTTATATTTGAAAGGCAGGGTTACAGGAAAAACAAGACAGAGAGGTCTTTCATCCACTAGTTCATTCCCTGAATGGCCACAGTGACTGGAGCTGGTCCAAAGCCAGGAGCCAGGAGCTTCGTCTGCATATCCCACATGGGTACAGGGGCCCAAGCATTTGGGCCGTGCTCCGTTGCTTTCACAGCCAGCTGGATCACAGGTGGAGCAGCCAGAACTAGCACCGGTGCCCGTATGGGATGCCAGCACTACAGGCAGAGGATTAGCCTGTTGAACCACTATACCAGCCTCTGTCTATGGATTTTATAAAATTCTGTACTCCATCTACCTCTTGAAATATGCATGTGCATGCGTTTTGAAATCATAGTGCAACTGAAAACATAAAGCCAAACTGCCAGAAGGAGGTGTTACACACAGCACTGTTCCTGTCCATCAGAGCTATGTATTAAGCAACGTAGCATCAGTTTCCAAGAGACAGATCTGTGTCCTTGGTACATTGGAGGTGCTGCCTGGGGTAAGGTGGAAAAAGATCAATGGAGGAAGGAAATCATTCCAGCTCGTAACCCTTCCCTCCCGTCCCTCTCTCCTCTTCTCACTTCCGGTAGACGTTCACTGGGTGACAGAAAGGAGAAAATGACCGGTCGTCATCAGGCTTGGCTTTTGGGATCTTTGGCAAGGTTTGAAGGAGAACACACCAAAGGCTTTCCCAGCAATCCTCTGTCCCGGAGTTAAAACCCACAAGCGCCATCCTGCTCTCCTGTGAATTCAACATGCGCTGTTTGGATGGGTTCTTAACAGTGATATCAACACTTGATAAAATCAGTGTGCGTGTGACCGGTGGAGGCTGTCTTGTCCCACCTCTGGCTCCTTCTCAGCAGGCACTTGGGTTAATCACAAAGGCCATGGGTCCAGGTCGAGGGGGGATATAAGACAGTCAGGAGTGGTGGAGACTGTGGCTAACCAGAGAACCACAAACATGATCGCTTTGAGCAGCTGCTATTCACCATACCCTCCTCCATTCCCCTCTCACCACAGTGGCCACTGTGGACACGCATGGCTATGTTCTCTCATTTCTCAGAGAAGTTGACAAATCTTCATTTCTGTGAGAAATTGTCTAGTTTTCCATTGTTGACAAGAGCTGCTTGTTTTGAAGGGAAGGGAGAACGCAGTTCCTTGTGTGTGTGTGCATGGGTGTGGCTGCTGAGCGGACAACATGCTGCCTGGGCTGGTGTGGAGGCCGTTGCTGTGGTGCGCCTCGCTGTCTGTTTTAGTCTTGGATTGCCCGCACACTCCCGAGGGGGACAGGAGCGAGGCGGGATCCTGTGCACCACTGGACAGCAGTTGCAGGCTTTCTGCTCTTGGCCACGCCCCAGGCAGCATGTCGGGGTGCTCTAAAGGAAAAGGACATGGGCCTGCCTCCCTGCACTTGGGGAACAAGAAAACGGGCCCGTGGACATGGGCATAGTTGAACCCAGCATGTGAAGACACAAACTCTAGAAGGTAGTTTGTGTGGAATTCAGAGTCTCTGTCCTCAATGTGGGAGAACTGCAAGAAGCTTCTGCCTTCGGCCCAGCACTGAACTGGCCATTGTGGCCATCTGGGGAGTGAACCAGTGGATGGAAGGCCAACATCTCCCTCCCTCCTCTCCCTCGTGCTCTCCCTTCCCACTCTCCCCTTATAATTCTCACTTTCAAATCTTTAAAAACAGAAAAGAAAGTAGCCATGGACAGACAGCAAGGAGAGCTGTGTTCTGATACAACTTCCTTCCAGATAGAAACGTGAATTTCCCATCACTTTCACATGTCTTGAAATCATTCCCTCTTTATGATTTTTCTTTAACCACTGAGACATGCAAAACCATCCTTGGCTCATGGGTCGTGCAAACCAGGCAGCTAGCTGCACCTGGCCAGACGAATGTACTGTAGGCACAAAGGAGACCCCAGTGTACCACTTCCTCCAGATCCCATCCTCTCCTCCCACCAAGCTAATCATCCTCCTGAAACATATTTATCTTTCCTGTATCCATCCATCCATCCATCCATCCATCATATCTTACTGCGTGAAGCTGCATCTCAGCTGCGTGTTTTGTGGGTGTGGGTTGGTGATGGCGATATGTGGACTTTGGGGTTTCATAGGAAGAACATTACATTGTGAGCCCCCTCCTGCCCCTTTGCTCAGCTCCGGGAATGCGGCCCTGGGCTGTGTGGAGAACAGTTTTGCCTTTTTCACTGCTGTATGGTAGCTCACCGTGTGACTGAGTGGTCTGTGGTTCGTCATTCCTATCGCAGCAAGCAGGTGATGAGGTTGCCATCTCCCAGTGTCTCCTCACTGTCACCATGACCTTGACAGGCAGGCACTTCAACACCCCCCACCTTCCAGGCGAGAAAGCTCTTTCCTGCAGCAGGTTGGTAATGGTATTAAGAATCAAACTAGAGATCTTAACAGGTGACAACTGGAGCCGGGGTCTGAACCCAGAGTCCCGGTTGGCAGCCCGTGTTTTATCTGTGCAACAACAGCTGACGGAGCCAACCACCTCTTGTGGTCTTGAAGCTCCTAATAGAAGCAGCTCTTCTGTGGATGGGGAGGGTCCCTGCTAACCGTTGCTGCTGTGGTGTCGCCCTCTGGAGGTGTCCACATCATCGTGTGCCTTGATGGGAAACCTCACTTTCCACCTGCCACGGGCAAGAGAAACACATGGTATGGGAGTTGGCAGCGTTTTTAGACAAATCGGGAGTGAGCCAGGAGCTGGTGGTGTCCTTGTTGGCAGGGGCCACGGGGGTGGGCACAGGGGCTGTGCTTCCCCAGGGACTCGTTAAAGATCACAGATCACAGGTTCCTTTTGAGCCACCAGTACAGATAATACCACGTGTCTTCCTCTCTCCAATGTCAAGTTCTCTCTGCTCCTCCCCACCACCATGCCCCCTCCCAGTCTCTGGTCTTTTAGAATCTTCACTTCCTCTTCATCTGTTTGTCCCTTCCTCACTGGGACATCGCCCTCCTCCCTCAGCCACTCCAGCTTGTTCAAGTGACCTTTAGAATGACGCAGAGTCCAGAACAGGGTGGACAAGAGGCAAACACCCCAAGCAGGTGGGGAGTGAAGGCTTGATTCCCATTCTTCATTTCCCTGGGATGCGAAGTTGAGCACATTTTCATGCCGCCACGGAACATGCAAGAAGGCTGGGTTGCAGCGGTCAGCTTCACTACTTAGCCCTCAGGGGGAAAGAACTCGGAATTGTGAGGAAGCCTGCGTAATTAAAGAATAAATTATGTTGCCCTTTGTTTTCATCCAGGTACAAGGAAATGCTAGAACTAGTGATCTCACCCAGCCTCGCTGCAAACAGCCACTGCCTGGATAAACCCACGGGGAACGGAGCTGCTGCTGCCGCCGGGCAAACGCCAGGGGACCACAAAGGTAGGCCCTGGAGGGCATTGGGATGGGCAGTCCCTGCACTGCTGCAGGTGTCGGGAGGGCCAGGTGCACAGCATTTCCCAGAATGCTTCCTTGCCATGGCCGTGGTGGCCTCTGGACCAAGACGTGGGCACATGGCACCACCCCTCTCTCTCCATCCAAGGGGCTGGTGGGCTCTGCTCTCCCACCCAGGCTCCAGGTTCAAAGGGTGCTAACCCCACCATAGGCCAGAGTCATGTAGTCTTCACCTCGTGGGGGCAGGGCAGGCTGTCAGTGCCAGGGCAGGAACTTGACTGGGTTGAAGCAAGCATCCAGGAAGTGAGAGTGAAAGTTGTTTGAGATGTTGCTGGCAGGTGGAGGCAGCCTGACTAGTTCTGGCTGGGACAATTGCAGCTATTGTTTGGAGCGCTGTGCTGCAATGCCCAAGCAACAACTTTAACCCTTGATTCAGCCAGCTTTGGGACTGAGATCCCAGAATGCTTTTAGGAACAGCCACCTTTCCGTGAGTCACTCAGCATCGCCACAATGACTTTTCACCCACGTGCAGGCCAGGAGGCTGGAGTAACCCATTTAAGGTCCCGGTGCCCATGCCAACACTTGGTGCAGAATGTCCCCTATTCTCTTAGCATGCTGGCGCACCTGTGCCAGCCACCTGTGCCCTGTTTGAAAAGTCATCATCTTCTGTCTGAGGTTGAGCCCAAGTCGACTCAAGGCTGTCTGTATTTCAGAAACAGGAATGATGGGAAAGGTCTGTGGGAGATCCAGGTCTGAGCCCCAGCCCCTCTGTACCCAGCCAAACGAGCTTAGGCAATGAGCGTCGGTTTTGCCATCTGTCAAATGGGGCGTAATAAGGATTGAGACTAGGAGCTGGGAGCCCTGTCCAGATCACTCCATGCCGGCATGCACCCTGCTAGTTGAGCTGTCACCTTTCCTGGTGTGCGTTAGCAGGAGTCTTGAATCAGAAGTGGAGCTTGTTGGACTTGAACTCGGGCATCTGGTGAAGACTGTGCACATCACACATGGCGTGTTAGCCCCTGGGTCGGATGACTGCCTCCTGTCTGTTTTTAAGACAAATCAGTGTCCAGGCCTGAGGTAATGCATACATACCCAAGTGTCCTTGACCGTGTCACTTCCTAACCTACAGGTAGCAACTGTTGGATGTTTTGTGTGTGTGCCGTTGAAGACCCTTTTCCATGCAGCTACCAGTGTATGCATATAGATTTATATAGTCTATGCAATGTTATGAGTATATGTGTGTGTGAGTACATTTACTATAGAAATTACAGTATACTTGGGGCCAGTGTTGTGGTATAGTGGGTTAAGCAGTGATGCTGGCATCCTATATGAACACCTGTTCCAGTCCTGGCTGCTTCACTTCCAGTCCACTACCCTCTTAGTGAACCTGGGAGAGCAGCAGAGTTAGGGCCTGAGTGCTTGGGCCTCTTCTATCCATGCGGAAGACTCTGAGCTACTGGCTTTGGCCTGGCCCAACCCTGGCCGAATGGGCCATTTGGGAAGTAAATCAGCAGATGGGGAATCTGTGTTTCTGTGTGTCTCACTCTGTAGCTTTGACTTTCAAACTAAATAGGTGTACATTACAGTCTTGCTGGGAAACGATTTGAAACACAAAAGCTGTCATCCTACATTTTCTCTACCTTGCTTTGTATGGTCACGTTACGCAGAAAGGATCCACTTTTGCCTTTGAAGTGCACACTTCCCCTAAGCCTGACCATTCCTCCTTCATTAAACCATTCCCCTGCAGGTGAGCATGTAAGTGATTCTGTCACTTGGATTGTTTCTGCTCTCACAGGCAACGCTGTGAGAGTACCCTGTGACATGCTACCATCTGAACATGCGCAGTGTCTCCTGGGCAGGTGCCAAGAACTCACCAGGCTGTGTCCTTGGTCCCCTTCCTCTTCCACTCCTTCTGCTTCACCTCTGTCTCCTGGTGAGGCTGCCTGAGCCCCCTGCACAGAATGATCCCGTAGCTTCTTCCCCATCCCTCACTTAGCTCAGCAAGCTGCTGGCTGGGCCTGCTGTAGGCTGTTGGGGCCCTGGTGGAGAGCGAAGCCCACTCAGGGTGGGGAGGGCCTTGCTCTGCTCCCAGGAGCCTCCTGTGCTTCTCCCTACTCAGCTCTCACCCCACAGCCCACGTGGATGTTGTAGCCGTTGCTGCCTCACCCTGGCCCTCTCTGAACCTTGGCCTTGTCTTCTGGGAAGTGATGGCTGGGCTTGTTGCCTTGTCTGTGCAGCAGACATGATGCTCTCAAACACCTGCTGTAGGTCAGGCCCCGGTGGAGGTGCTGGGAACCCTCGAGGCTCCTCCCAGAGCTTCTGTTTAGTGCAGGTGGCGGGTACTGGAGGCCGTCCAATGAGGACTCTCAGAGCAAGGTGATTCCACTGAACACACAAAGCAGGAATGTGGCAGACGTTGAGTGACACTGATGTCAACCATATCTTCCCCTGCCCTCCACCAGGTATCTGTGAGGGGGCAGTTTCTCATCTGGCCTGAGACCCTGCATTTTTCACGAGCTCCCAGCTGATGCCCAGGCTGCAATTAAGCCAACCTCTCTGCTGACCGCACCTCAGGCAATCTTGGACCTTACTATGGGGCTAGGACCTGGCAATGTACATTTCTACCTGGTCTGGCCCAGGGACCACATGTGAAAGCCAGGCTCCAGCCCTTGGCTATCTATTGGAATCACCTGGAAGGTGTTGTGGTAGTTGGTTTTGTGTTGATTTTGGGGTATAGCCCAGGCAGGCAGCCAAGTTCATTATACACCCAGTGAGCAGAACCACCATTCTCGATGCTCAGTGCCTCCAGGACAAAGGTGGGTGTTTATTCCTGGCTTTATACAGGGGCTCCTGGAAGTTCATGGGAAATGGCCATTATCTTTCAATTCTATACTTCCCGCAAATATTTCTGAAGCCCCCGTCATGTAGATGTTTAAACCCTTGTTCCTGTTTAGCCTACAACCCACTGGCTGAGTCACAGCTGATTTGAGATTATTGATGGGTGGGTAGGTGAGCATAATCCTGAGCAATTCCGGGTAGCTGTGGCTTCTTGGCTCTGAATCCTGGAGGAAGTTTCACAGGCATCCCTCCACCACATTTTCTACATCTGTAAAGGACAAGTGATACATTATGACTTGAGAGTGATTGTTCAGGATAATTGTGTGCAGTCCCTGGCTGAGAGAAACCAGGTGGAGAATGTCACCCATGGTTCCTTCCCTTTCAAGGGAAAAATCAGATTTGAATTCTGACCTGCCTTCTGGAAGGAGGGGTCACACACTGAACGGAGGAAGAGTTTTCTTTGCAGATGCAAAGCTGAAATCTCGTTAAGTGTTTTCAGGAGAGATGAAACCACCTTGATCTGGCCTGTGAACAGGCTGCTTGGCAGCTTCCCGCAGCCCCCATCCCGGCGCCTCCCTCTGCCCTGAACGTGGCCTGAGCTGCAGGTGGAAGCTGGTGGATTTTGGTTCAGTTCATCCTGGCCAGGTTGAGTTGCCCAGAGCTGGTTCTGAGCCATGCCTCGGTGCCCCCTTCCCTGCCCAAGCCTGGCTCCACCCCCTGCTCAGCTCCTACCGTGGAGCACACCTCTGCGTGCAGTGCTGCAGTGTTAAGGAAATTGCTACTCCTCGGCTCACACACTCTGTGAGCTAAGTATGTTTGAGCCACAAGCTCACCTCCAACCCTATTCTCATATATCTGAACTACCTGCTTACTCCTTGGTGTATAACACAGCTCCCTTGAAACAAATAGCATGTGTCATTCCTCAACTCTCTACAACAGCCAGACTGGGCTAAATGGAAGCCAGGAGCCCAGAGCTCCATCCAGGTCTCCCACGTGGGTGTCCTGGGACCCACATACTGGAGGCCATCACTTGTTGCCTCCCAAGGAACGCCTTAAAGAAACTGGACTAGCTGGGACTCGAACCAGGTACTTGGGTGTGGATGCAGAGGTCCCGAACAGCATCCTAGCTATTGTTCCAAACATCCACCCCTTAAATTCATTTTTTAAAAAGAGCTTATGTATTTGAAAGACATAGTGATAGACATTCAGAAAGAGCTCTTCCAAATGCTGATTTACTGCCCAAATGGCTGCAATAGCCAGGACCAGAACAGGCCAAATCTAAGAGCCAGGAACTCCATTCTGGTGTCCCACATGGGTGGCACAAACCCAAGTGCTTGGGTTATCACTGCTGCCTCCCAGGCACAGTAGCTGAAAGCTGGATCGGAAGCAGAGAGGCCGGGATTCAATCCAGCACTCCAACATGCAGTGTGGGCATCTTGAGCAGTGACTTAACCCACTGCACCATGACACCTGAACCCATTCATTTTAAAATGACATCCACATCCAAAAATGAAAAGTGACTTCAGTTGTTGTCTCATGAATCAAGTACAAGTTCTACTGCATTGTGATGATCTCCACAGAAGAGCCTAAGTTTATGGGTCGTCGGGTCGGTACACCTTTGGATGTGCCTTCCTGTTCCTTTCTGTCCTCAGCACCATGGCTGCTGAGTAGGGGGTCAAAAAAGGGGCACATCCTGCTGGGCTCCTACTAGGGCGAAGTGGAAATTGCAGGCATGCAGGCGGGCACGGGACTGACCCCACTTGTAGACACACACCTTTCCCAGCAAAGACTGCATGCGCCCTCTTGCTGGCTCTAGAAATCGCGTCATTTCACCAGGGATCAGTTAGAAGCCGCCCCTAGGGTCCAATTAGGCCACATAGCAGAAGCTGCTGCCAGACTCATTAGCTTCTTAATCCTCCTGGGCAGAAGGGGAAAAGAGGATGAAAGTTCAGACGGGGCTCATGGCGTTAAGTAGCTTAAGCCTAGGCTCCCAGGAAAAGGGAAGTTTGCTGGCTCCTGTTGGGGGAGAGGTTCCTGCTTGGCTGTGCCTGCCTCATCTGCAGGTGGCAACTGCCCCACTCTCTCAGATGAGGGACGCTGAGGTTCACCGAGGAGACAGGCACAGGCCACCTGGCTGTATGGCATTCCAGCTGGGATTAGAAGTTGGCTGTGACCCCTGCAGCCTACCTGCTTGCTTTGGAGAGAACGTTCAGGTTAACAAGTGATAAGACTTGGGTGTGGATGTGACCCCCCAGGAGGTGCGTGGCAGACCCGTGTTGGCGTGCAGGTATGAGGGAACCAGCCGTATGTGTGTCGCTGTGTGAAGGCCTTCACAGCACCCTCTCACTCAGAGGTGTGTGCACACACTCCTTCCAGCTTTGCTAACCTGGGTCTCGGCTGTGCCCGTTGGCACAGTTGACCATCCTACTCTCCGAGTCTGAAATGCTGCAGAACCTGAATGCTTGAGTGTTAATGCGATGCCGCAAGTGGAACATTCCACACAGGGGAGACTTTTGCTTTGTGTGCACAATTGTTTAAAAATACTGTGTAAGATTACCTGCAGACTATGTGTGTAAGAAACATAAATGGGACTGATGTTGCAGTGAGCACATTACACTTCCCCTTGCCTAATGACACCCTGTATCAGAACAAGTTCAAGTTTAGCTTTTCTGCTTCTGATTCAGCTTCCTACTAACGTGCCTGGGAGAGCAAGAGGATGGCCCAAGTGTGTGGACACCTTCCACCCACATGGGAGACCTCGATAGAGTTCAAGTTCCTGGCTTTGGCCCAGCTTTAGCTGCTGAACCATTTTGGGGGGTGAAACAGGTGTGTTTCTCTCTCTCTCTCTCTCGCTCGCTCTCTCATTCTGCCTTTAAATATATAAATAAGTCTTTTTTTTAAAAAAAGTCGTCAGCATAGATTAATCTGGTGTTCAGACTTAGAACTATCCCCGAGCTGTCTCATCACACATAGCTAAGTACTCCAAATCTGAAACTATTGAAAAACCAGCAACACCTCTAGTGACAGGCATTTCCGAGAATGGGTACTCACTCTGCATTTGAGCAACTTGTGAAGTGGAGCTGTGTGGTGATGTTTTATGCCTGTTGCCCAGGTGGCTGGGGCAAGGAGACTGAGACCCAAAGTCTGGGTAGCCTGCTGGTCTCTGAGCCAGGCAGGGGAGGAACTAGCTGAAATGCAAATTGGGCTGACAGGTTCCCTACATTAGGGGAGAGGGGAGAAGGGACTGGCAGGTGCATCACAGCATATTCATCCATAAATGCATCTTCCAGCATCTGTCTGGGATCCTGCAGGGAAGCCACATTCTGAAGGATGACACCCCACCAGTGCCCCTACCCCCGAGACAGCCTGCTTGTGAAGCTCTGTCCTGGCCAGCGCCTCTCCGCGCCTCTCCTGGCTCTCCTGTCACTTGTCTCCTGCCACTGGCTGGATACCATGTGTCCCACGAGAGGCACCTGCCTCAGAAGCTCAGACCAAGAGCATTCTCCCTTGAAGTCCTGGGGCCAGCCCCACCCAAACCTCCTGCACTGGATGTCAGATGACCTCATGGGAAGAAACGACATAGATTTTGAACTGTCAAAGCCGATAGAAGCTTGGCAGCCAGGGAATGCCAGGGTTCCCCTTCCAGGAGTGGAGGTGGCACAGCCTGGCTCGGACCCCCATGGTGTTGCTTCTTGGTCATGTGGCCCAGCTCATGCACATTCTTTGTTTGGCCCCAGTTTCCCAATCTGTACAGTGCAGGAATGGGTGCCATGCTGATGTATCGAGATGCTGTGTGTGTTGTCTGGCACAGAGTATCTGAAAACAGTTCGCCCAGGCAGGGCTCTGGCCCCCTCTGGGAGGAGAGGGCTAAAATGTTGCTCCTTGGGTAAGCTGTGGCAAAGAACATTCCAGCGTGTGCAGGGCACCCTGACAGCTACAAACCGCACATTTTTCTCTCCCACCAGGCCTCCCCAGATTGACTCCTCCCAGCGTGTCCCAGTTCTTGGCAAGGTGGGTCTACAGCACGCTCCCTTGCTGCACTCCGGGGAGGGTGGAACAAGGGCTCACAGGTGCATGCACTTACTGGGGGAGCAGCCTTGAGCAAGTGACTCTGCCTCCCTGGGACTCAGTTTCCCCAAGTGAAGAAGAGGGTGGTGTGTTGCTGCCCAGCTCATGAACGGAGCAACAACCCAGGGCAAAACACCTTGGGACTCGGCCTGGAGCCATGTTCTGAGCATGCTTGCTGTGGTTGGCTTCCATCTCCTTTTGAGCCTGCTCTTTATTGAGATTTATTTTATGGGCTCAAGAGGCAGAGAGACAGAAAAGGAGAGAGACAGATCTTCCGTTTGCCAGTTTCCCCCAAATGCCCATAATAGCCAGGGCTGGGCCAGGCTGCAGCAAGAAGCCTTGAACTTCATCCGAGTCGCCCATATGGGTGCAGGGGCCCATGCACGTGGGCCAACCTCCGCTGCTTCCCAGGCCACTAATAGAGCTGGACCAGAAGCAGAACAGCCAGGACAGGAGCTGGCACCTGTGGGATGCCCGCGTCACAGATGACAGCGTCACAGACGACAGCTTGTGGGTGCTGTTTCCAGTGCCCTTCTTCATCCTTGCTGATCTGGTTTCTACACCTCAGTTCCTCCTTCCCTTCCTCCCTGCCCCGCCTCCCCTCATTCTGTTCCTCCTCTCACCTTTCTTCTCCACTCTGCAATTCACACATTTCACCCCTGGCACCACAGGGAGCCCAGGACTCTACCTCCAGGGCCTCTCATTTTCTGTCCCTGCCGTGACCACAGCACAACTGGGACCATGGAGCTGAGCTGCAGGCAGGGCTCACAGGCGCGTCAGGGGGGCTGCTCTGAAGAGGCAAAACCAGTGTTAGGAATGAGCCCTCCCTTTCTCCCCCCACCCCACTGTTCAAAGAACTAAAATAACAGCATCCTGTGCCCACCCCTTCATGGGACCAAGGTATCCTGAACAGTCCTCTGAAAGCTGAAATAGAGGGCCTGGTGCCACTGCTTTACATGCAACCCCACATGGGCACCACTTTGAGTCCCGGATGCTCCAACTTGCAATGCAGCCCTTTGCTGATTGTGTCTGGGAGAACAGTGGAGGATGGCCCAAGTGCTTCATGGAACTGCTGGCTTCAGCTTGACCCAGCCCTGGGTGTTGTGGTCATTTAGGGAGTAAACCAGTGGACAGAATCAATCTCTCTTTATCTGTAACTCTTTCAGATAAATAAAATATTTTAAAAATTACAAAGCTGGGGGTCTAATAATAAAGGCAGTGTCTAAGTTAGGACAGACATCCAGGGTGAGCTAGGCTAGGCAGTGGTAATCAACAGACCACAGACTTGGTTCCTTATTTGCATAAAGTTCACGTGGGTGGGCAGACCCCTCGGACAGCCCTGCTCCGTGAGCCGACTCCGGTCCAGGGTGCTCCCGCTTGACTGCTGCCTCAGTCCCTGCTTCCCGCACTTGCTGCCCAAAGGAAAGGCAGGAGGCCAGATGTTTGCATCAGCTCAGCCTGGGTGTGGCATAAGGCCCAACTGCCCACAGGCTGTTGGTCGGCACTCAGGCATGTGGTCAAGTTGCACAGGAAACAGAACCACATAACCAAGCAGAGGAAAATGACACAGGATTCGAGGACCCCAAGGGTAGTCAGTCTGTGTCCTGGGAGAGTAACTGTGCAAAGAAAGACGGCAGTGCTGATGGCACTGTAAGGGGGAGGAGATGCTGGGCTAAGCTCAGAAACTTAAATCCTCTCTCCTTCCACACAGGCCTGGCCCACGTGTCCTGTCCAGCCCAGCATCCTCAGCCATGGCAGCCTACGGCCAGACGCAGTACAGTGCGGGCATCCAGCAGGCTGCCCCCTATGCAGCTTACCCGCCTCCCACACAAGCCTACGGGATCCCCCCTTACAGTGAGTACCATCTGCCCTGCTCCTTCTCCTGCCCTAGTGCCCCAAGACCGCAGAGCGACAGACACAGTCACTGAATTAGTGCACTTTCGATGCGGCTTCTACTCTACAGGTGGCATCAAGGTCTGTGATGGTTGTCAGAATGAGAAATGTAGCCCACACTGGCTGAGGTAAAATGGAAAGCTGGGACATGAGGTGCGGCTAAATCGAGGGGATCAAATGACATGGGAAGGGATCTGGTTCATTCCCTCCTCGAGAGCTTTCTGCTTAGCTGGCACTGCTTCTGTAGGCGACAAGGACAGTGCTCACCAGCTCTGCATTTGCACCTGGCAGCTTGGCACCTTGAATGTGTGAACCCTTCCTCCCCAGTCCGTCCAACAGAACCTGCACATCTGCCCATGAATTAGAGCATGGCAGATAGGTGGCTGATGTGCCCAGATTATACCTGTGGGGAGGGCATTCCCCAAAAAGGGACAGAGTGGTGGTAGAAGAATGGCTGCTGGGGAGACCACAACAGACCTCCCAGCCTTGACTGTGGGCCCTCCTGCTGAGCGCTGAGGACTACCAGGAGCCAGCGGATACCACCCGCCCCACCTGAATCACCACCCTGAATTATCTCCCTGTTTCACTCCCTGCAAACCCTGGCCTCCGAGGAGAAAGAAATAGACAAATGTTGGCAAGCCCATGTGTGATTCCAAACACTAAAGACAATGCCCGCCCCTTTCTGAGCCTCAGCTCCCAAGGACACAGTGGGGCGGATAGTAAGACCCAACCCTCCCAGGGGGTTCATGGGAAGACTGGACAGCATCATCGGTGCCAAGAACTGATTCACTTTCCTGCAAAGGTTGATGTTTTCTACTTGCTGGGCCATCCAGTCCCTGGCACAGGGACCCAGTTTTACCGCTGAAGTGTGAAAACAGTAAGTCCACAGACAGGTGTGTCTGTATTCCAGGAAAGCTTAATCTGTACATGCAGGCAGTGGACCAGACACCGTGCAGGGCCCAGCTCACGGGGTTCTTAGCCCCGAGACATGCCCAAGGAGTGGCGCTGTGTCACCCTGCCTGTGTCACCAGGTAACGACAGGGAGATGAAAAGCCATCTCCTGGCACGCTAGGCTGTGCCCAAACAAGCAGTGTTTGCTCATCGTCTGGCCAAATCTTGCCGAGTCTTGTCGGGACTCTTCTATCATTGCTGTTTGATGTAGGGGGCAGAAATACCACAAGGAGCAAGCCTGGGACAAGGGCGTCCAGAGCACCATATACTTCTTGTATCTGCTCTGGTTCAGGAGGAGCGCTACAGCAGCTGCGCTCCAACCTTGCGCGAGGCAGCTTGCCTTTCTTCCCAACTCCATGTTTGTTACAGCCCTGCCCTTCTTTCCGTAGGGGTCAGCAGGTGAGAGACAAGGTCGGCAGGATGTTTTTTAAGATTTATTTATTTTTATTAAAAATGCAAATCTACAGAAAGATCTTCCTTCCATTGATCCACTCCTCAAGTGGCCACAATGGCTGGAGCTGAGCCGAACAGAATCCAGGAGCCGGGAGCATTCTCTAGGTCTCCCACATGAGTGCAGGGTCCCAAGGCTTTGAGCCATACTCTATTGCTTTCCCCGGTCACAAGCAGGGAGCTGGAAGAGAAGTAGAGCAGCCAGGACACAAACCAGCACCCATGTGGGCTCTCGGAGCGTGCAAGGCTCGGATTTAGTGCTGAGCCATCACACCAAGCCCAGGTGGTTTTTTTTTTTTAACTGAGCCAGCAGAGCCAGACAGCAAGCACTGTTGTCTCAGCAGGCCATACAGCCCCTGTCATACCTGTCCCCTCAACCCTGAGAAAGAACCCAGGAGGTTGGAATTTGTCTTCAGCTCCCTCACACTGGCATTTATATGAATGGTAAAATTATAGAGAGGAGACAGAGGTCTTCCATCCATTGGCTCCGCACTTGAAACCACCTATAGCTGTTCTCCCAGACTCATGAGCAAGGCATTGGATCAGAAGTGGAGCAGCCAGGATTCAAATCTGTACCCATATAGGACGTGGGTGATGCGAGTGGCAGTTCAGCCCACCTGCCGCAGCACCAGTTTTACAGCAGGAGGCACATACACTGTGCATTCTTTGGCAGCCTGTTTTTGCACCCTTCTCGACATTAGGCCATTAGCATTCGTCCCTACCTGTGCACATAGCTCAGACTCATTCATTGCCACTACTGTGTAGCATTCCGTTATTTGTACCACGACTCACCGATCCATTGTCCTTCGGACGGTCAGTTTAGATCTGAAGTTTTTGATGATTTCCAGTTACACAGGATGCTGCCATCCACATCTTGGTGCATTTCTCAGGGACAGAAGCCCCAGAGTAGGATTTCTTGGTGGCAGAGCAAATGTGTCCTTCCTGGAGCAATGGCTAACGTTTCTGCCATCTGTGACTGTGTAACAAGCCTCCCTGTAATGTATTAGCTGGAAGAAATTGGAAGCATTTGTTTCACCCACTTTCCCCCATGCCTCGACCCTCCCCACCCTCATCAGTGGGACTCATGGGCATACATCCTTTTCAACTCTGTAAACATCATCAAAAATAAAAAATTTTAAAACTAAAGCAGCAAGTAAGCTGTGAATAACACAAGGAAGGGTAAGATCTTGGGAAGAGGATTTATGCTGAGAAATTGAAGACCTCAGTCTAGTAAGGAAGGGAGAGGGTATGCTCCAGGCAGAGAGTAGCATGTGCAAAGGGCCTGGGGCCAATGTACTTATAGATTGTGTCTATTTTAAGGCAAACAATACAGATACCTTTGATGCAGCCATTCTGTTTCTCTGTCCAACTGGGACAGTGCTGGGGAGAAGAGGGGACATTCCCTCTTGGGTTACGATACTGAAAAGCAATCAACCTCCATCCATCATCAGGGTACCAACTGAATATTCCAGATTTTGGATTTCTGTCAGCCACTGAATTAGATGTGAGTGGCTGAGTACACAGCTTGAGCAGAGGAAGGGCTCCCATTCACTCAGAAGGGTGAATGGAGCCAGATCTGAACTAATCTGAAGCCAGGAGTTTCTTCTGGATCCTCCCACGTGGGTGCAGGGTCCCAAGGCTTTGGGCTGTCCTCTCTGCTTTCCTAGGCCACAAGCAGGGAGCTAGATGGGAGGTGGGGCTGCCAGGACACGAAGCAGTGCCCGTATAGGATTCTGGCACTTGCAAGGCAAGGATTTAGCCACTACACCATCATGCTGGGCCCCAAATTTCCATTTCTTTAAAAATATGCAAACCAAGCAGAATATGTCCATAGGTTAACTTCAGGTTGTGGACAATTCCTAATTTGGAAGCTGAGGAAAGTGTGACCTGTCTTTGATTCAGTAACTCTTCTGTAAGTGACAAGCCAGCCTCCTAATCATGCATCCTTGGTGCTTTCTTCTCCATCCAAGGCATCAAGACAGAAGACAGTCTGAACCATTCCCCCAGCCAGAGTGGATTTCTCAGCTATGGCTCCAGCTTCAGCACCGCGCCCACTGGACAGAGCCCGTACACCTACCAGATGCACGGTCAGTGGTGTGGCAGCCCCTCTCTGCGCCCAAGGTCTGAGTCAGGTGTCCCTCCATCCCCTGGTCTGTTTAGCAGATTGACTGAGCTCCGACTGTGTGCCAGGGTTCATCTCAAGTAATGAAGTGGTGGTGGTGGAGAAAACAGATGTAAGAGCTTTATCCAATCTCCCATTTGGAAGCAGAGCCCCAAGGCTTTGGGCCGTCCTCGACTACTTTCCTGGGCCACAAGCAGGGAGCTGAATGGGAAGTGGGGCTGCCAGGACACGAACCAGTGCCCACATGGGATCCTGGCAATATGAGGACTTTAGCTGCTAGGCTACCATGCCAGGCCCAAGTGTGTAACTTTAAGTCACCAGGGAGGGTTGTACCAAAAGACCTGGTACAGGCCTATGGGTGAGGTGGTGCCAGCCATGTGCCCTCTACCCCCAAAGGAGAGCACAGAAACAGCCAGTGCAAAAGCCAGATGGAGGGAAGCGTCTGGATGCGTGTGAGGCACAGAGTGGTGGCCAGGGAGTCTGGAGCAGAAAGTGCTTGTGGCAGGAGGACTGTTGGAGAGGGCAGAGCTGAGCTGCACAGGGTCCTGAGGGACACGAGAAGGTGACTGGTGCTCACATGCGAAGGCATGGCAAGTCCAGTGAAAAGAACTGGAGGAAGGCAGCATGGAAGGGATGGTGCACAGGTAGGGGGAGTTGCTGCTTATTGTCCCAGGCCTCGCACAGAGCTTGGCAGGGGAAGGACAGACTTCAGTGCCTCCCTAAGTCCCTTACGACAAGGAGCTGGCTTGCTGGGTTCCTCTAAGTCTGCCTCCACCCTTTTGCTGCATTCTGGTGCCCCCTACATGGCATGTTGATGGGGGTGCGGGATGCAGAGGGCTGCTGGGGAACCTGTGGCGAGCCCCGTCCCCATGTTAGGTATGCCATCTGACATCAGAAGGTCACCGAGAGTCTTGCAAAGTCAAATGCAAAGGTGGAAAGATGTTGACAAGGAGTGGGCTGAGGAGTGATCGCACGTTTCCTTGTAAAAGCAACTACTTGGGAGCATTTTTATTTTATCTTCTTACTTAAGGACAGCAGAGAATCTCCGGAGTTTATGTAGGGGAAAGAGTGATGGGCAATCATGTCCGGCCTGAGAGTGCCTTCAGAGGTCAGAGCTGGTTGGGGAGCAACCAGCTAATCATGACCAAGCATGGGGGCCAGGTGATGTCACACGGACCGTCTCATACCATCCCTGTGATGAAGTACCATTACTGGCCGGATTCCCCTATTAAAGAGAGGAAAACACAGGTGTGGAAGCAAGGATGGATGGGCGCCCAGGGTCAAGATAAGGAGTTCGGATGGTACCATGGGTACACTTGCACATGGGCTGTGCTGTTTCAGGAAGGCCTAGGGGAACCGAACCTTCCAGCTCCCCACAGTCAATGCCCTAGGACGCGCCGTCTCCCACCGCCTCTGCTCCTACCATTGCCTCCATCTCCCTGACAGCACCTCTCTGAGTATACAGGTTCCCACTGGTACCAGTCCCAACAATAAAGACTGGTGAGGACAATGAACTTGAATTTGCATTTGGATTCCTTGCAAGTCAGTTTCTTTCTGGATTTTCAAAGAACCTGGACAAGCTGCTTCTGGGTTTCTAAGGCCAGAGGGGTCAAGCAGCAGACCCACCCATGCCCCAGTCGCATAAAAAGTGACTTCAGGAGCAGTGGCTCCCCTTCATTGCTTCATTCCATATGATTAGGCATGAGTTTTACACCTGACACCTTTTGGTTTTGGAAGGCAAAGTTAGAAGGAGAGACAGGGAGATTGTCCACTGGTTGTTTCCCCAAGTGACTGCAGAGGTCAGGGCTGGACCAGGCCAAAACCAGGCGCTTCCTCATCTCCCACATGGTGCTGGGTTCCAAGTGCTCCATCAGCAGGAAGCGGGATCAGAAGTGGAGCAGCCAGGACTCTCACTGGCACCTGTATAGGATACTATTGAACAAGCAGCAGTTTAACTCACTGTGCCATAGTGCCGGCCCCAACACGTGACACTTAGTTTTTTCAGATTTATTTATTTTTATTGGAAAGGCAGACTTACAGAGAGAAGGAGAGGAAGAGAGAAAGAGATCTTCCATCCACTGGATCACTCCCCCAATGGCCACAGCAGCCAGAGTTGAGCTAATCTGAAACCAGGAGCCAGGAGCTTCTGCTGGATCTTCCATGTGGGTGCAGGTTCACAAGGACGTGAACCATCCTCCACTGCTTTTCCAAGCCACAAACATGGAGCTAGATGGGAAATGAAGTTGCCATGATATGAACCAGTGCCCGTGTGGGATGCCACACTTGAAAGTGGAGGATTAGCCTGTTTAGCCACAGAACTGGCCCTCACCTGGCACTTTTCAACCCACTACCAGTGAAAAAAGATAATCAATTAAGATAATAAGTTCTTAGTAATCAATTAAGAAAGAGATGCTGATGTGTTTTAATAAGGCTGAAGGCAAGCAAGCAGGACTGTGAGCAGGGAAGAGTGGAGATCATTAACCCCATGGGTTACAGACCTGAGTGAGAAAACGGATGCAGCCACCTGCTGAGCTGGAGACAGACCACCAGCAGCAGGGACCCCCGGGACCAGAGGGCCTCAGGCAGGAGAGCCCCAGGGCTAGCAGATGCCCAGCCACTCAGGCAGAAGGAGCAGCTGGAGGGGAGTCTGGGCCCTCCCTACACCCCTGAGCAAAGAGTGATTTTATTTTTTCCAAGCTACTTGAGGCAGACACTGTCTGCCCTGTTTTACAGATCATCAGAACTCCCCCTAGCAGGAGGGGTTTCTCCGGGGTGAGCCTTGGCCTGGCCCACACCCACCGCACCATTACTACCACACATCTCTTGTTCTGCTCACACTCGACCAGGTCCTTTCGTTAGCATCCTCATGGTCCAGACGCCAGTGGCAGCAGCCGGCCTGCGTCCTGGGGAATGGCCTGTACTGATGCCGATGCCCGTGAGCTGCTCTTGAGACAGCCCAGGCATCCTGCACGCCTCAACTTTTTTTCTCAAGCACAAACACAGAACATTGTGGTCAGAACCTAAGTTCTTTTCCTCTCTTAGGACAGGATTCTGTAGACACCAAAAGGACCTATATGGGCCTGGCCTGGTAGCCTAGTGGCTAAAATCCTTGCCTTGCATGTGCTGGGATCCTGGTTGGTGTCCCTGCAGCTCCCTGCCTGTGGCCTGGAAAAGCAGTTGAGGACCGCTCAATTGGAACCTTGGAACCCTTCCCCCATGTGGGAGACCTGGAAGAAGCACCTGGCTTCAGATCAGCTCAGCTCCAGCCATTGTGACTACTTGGGGAGTGAATCAGCAGATAGAGGATCTTCTCTGTCTCTTCTCTCTTTGTGTCTGACTTTCCAGTGGAAATGAATAAATATTTTTTTTAAAAAAGGGACTTACGTAGGGCAGACATTATCATTTTACAGATGGATAAACTGAGGCACAGCCACAGAGCAGCTGGTGTGACCTAGCTAATTCCAGAAACTTCTGCACATTTGCAATTGCTTGCAAACCACTCAACGCCCCCCGGCTGGGGAGTCTGGTGTTTGGATAACAGAGCCCTTCCTCAGAATGTACAATAAACATAAAAGAGACAAGTTTGTAACACTCATTCATCCTTGGTATAGTTGTTTAAGTTCATTCCAGGGTTTGTAAAACAGATTTATTTATCTTTATTGTAAAGTCAGATATACAGATAGGAGGAGAGACAGAGAGGAAGATCTTCCATCTGTTGACTCACTCCCCAAGCAGTCCCAACAGGTGGAGCTTAGCTGATCAGGAGCCTGGAGCTTCCCCCAGGTCTCCCATGTGGGTACAGGGTCTCAAGGCTTTGGGCTGTCCTTGACTGCTTTCCCAGGCCTCAAGCAGGAAGTTGGATGGGAAGCAGAGACACCAGGACTAGAACCGGCGCCCATATGGGATCCTGGCACATGCCAGGCGAGGACTTTATCCACTGGGCTATCGCGCCAGGCCCTCATTCCAGGATTTTAATAGCTGGAATATATACAAATATCTTGTACTCTGCTTTATTTCTCCTTGGGCTCTCCCAGAACACTTCTATTCATGAGGAATAACCCCAAAGATGGAAGAGAAGACAAAATCGTCTTGGGGATGCATTGTAAGAATCTGCTAGTGCCGTGGAGGGGTTCCCGGCTCTGGGGCAGGCTCGCAGTCCCTCCCTGCCGCACCACCAGGGGAAGTGCTAGGATGTCCCTGTGCCTTGGTTGTCTCGCCTGTCACATTCGCATCCCAGGAAGAGGGACGCCCCACTGTGGTTCCCAGGGCCTAAGTGATAGGGTTATGGGGTCACATCACAAGGCCCAGGGGGGCTGGAATTCCTTTTTTATTATTCTGCCGATAACATGGTAGCTAACCATGATTGTGGCTCCCCAGAGTGAATAGTGGTAGAGTGCTTTGCCAGGTGGCTTTGCTCAGGAGCCCTCGCCCCATGCCCTAGCTTCCTGGGGCTTCCAGATACAGTGATGTGATGGTCCCTTCCTGCGTTAAAATTCTTTCAATTTCTCCCTGTTTTTACTCTGAACATGTTCGTTAATGCATTCTTTACTGTAGTGCCGAAAACTTTACCCATATCCAAGGTCTGATTCAGTGGTTCTCATTATTGTCACACAGTTGTGTAATCTCACCCCTGTCTTGTCTCAAGTTTCCATCACCCCCAAAGAAAACCTTGTGCCAATTATCAGTGCCTCACCGCCTTCCCCCACTCCGTCCAATACGTGGCTTTTGCAATGAGAAGATAGCGTTTAAAGGGACTCCTCTTTGGCAGTGTCGAGCAGGTGAATCTGGTCCAGACATCCTTCGAAGCCTGCCTCCCACCCTCAGTGATGGCTGGTCCGCTCCCAAGCTGCTCCTTTGTCGCTGATTTCCACTTTGGTGATGTGACTCCCTGTTCAGGCTCTCCACGACAGCACAGCTCTGGGTTCTTAGATCTCTGGCTGGGTTGTTTTCACCACATTTACAAAC